TGTCAGCGTGGGGAAAAGTGGCTTCAAGTTCACCCCCTTCCCTTCAGCAGAGGCACCTGGGCTAAGAATGCAGATAAGCAAAAGAGTGTGGCTGGCCAGGGGGCCCTGAGTCCTTGAGTGAGTCCCTCCAGAGACTGTAATGCTTTGGTTGTGCACCACGTCAACTTTGGGCAGCTTTCTCCAGGGCCTGCCAGGCAAGACCTTTGTAATTGCCTGTACAAAAAAAAACAAAAACTTGCTGTCAAGTCGATTCTGACTCATAGCGATTCTATAGGACAGAGTGTAGAACTGCCCCGTAGGTTCTGTGGAGTGGCTGGTGGGTTTGAACTGCCGACCTTTTGGTTAACCACTGAGCTCTTAACCACTGTGCAACCAGGGCTCCAAATTGCCTATGGCCAGGCCTGAAAAATCACACAAAGGTTTTTAGCCAGAAGCTGGGCTTCTCAATATCCAGCAGAAGTTTGTGTATGTATGGGTCTGAGGTTGAGAGAAGTGAGAACTGGAGAGTATTTGTAGCCATGAGCAATAGGTGGAAGCTAGAACCTTGAAAGTGAGTAAAGTCATCCAAGAACAGCCTCTAGGCTGCAAGGAGCAATGAGCCAGGGATGGGACTCTGGAAAACACCAACATTTAAGGGGCTGGCTGAGAAAGAGACCCTATGAAGCAGATTAAGGAATAGTCTGATATTTAGGGTTTAAACCAAGAGAGATGGTGCCATAGATGTCTAGGAATATAAAGATTGACAGTGGGCCTATTAGATTTGACAATTAGCAAGTCCCCGGTGACTTTGGGAAGAACAGCTTTCGGTATTGAGATGGAAGCCACCATCTCCAACTCATGGCGACCCCTTGTGTGTCAGAGTAGAACTGTGCTCTGCAGGGTTTTCAGTGGCTGATTTTTTGGAAATAGATCACCAGGCCTTTCTTCCAAGATGCGTGGAGGGAGATACCAAATTGCAGGTGCAAAGGGGGCACTCTTCAGGAGGCTATCACAATCCTCAGATGAATCCCTACCTTAGGACTGTTAAGAAGTATGGACAAATCCTTCTCAGTCCATAATACAAAAGTTTTATAGAAAATCAGCTGTAGAGTGACCCAGAAATTAGTTTCCTTATCATCCTGTTATCTTTGCACCCATCCCCAATTCCCACAGTGGTTGTGGAATTATTGAATTTAAATTTGTTTTAATGCTTTTACCCTAATGATATTTAATAAATGTTAACTAATTGATAAATGTTAATTTATTTAATAAGAAATTTCTATGCCCAAATAAACTAAACCAAAATACACATCAATCATGATGACTGTTTGATCCCAGAGGTTAATAACATTTTGATTACAGTAGAACAAGGTGCAAAAAATTAATTCTGTCTCAAATGTCATTTGACTATTACAGAAATAAACTGTCTTACTGAATACATCGTAGCTTATCAAAAATTGGGCAACAGTGGTGGAGCCATGAAGCGCTGTTAATCCCAGGCAGTTTGGCTAGTAAAAGGGGAATGGTCCAGATTGCACAGTTTCTCAAATCTGCAAGTATATTGTAAGAATAGAGTTTCACAGTTGGCAGAAGCTCTCTTCATGACAGGGCTTGGTGCCTTTTCCCTTTATATATGCGTATTTTTTGAGACAATGTTTAACAACACAGCATCGTCACAGATGATCAGGACTTAGAAGGGAAATTCTGGGTTTTGAGTTTCCTGCTACAACCAATCTTTTACTCTATTTCTGAAACTCTCTCCCTCTCCCTCTCTGTCTTTGTGTGTATGTGTATAAAATGTATAAAATAAAATGTAAGTATGTATATATATGGTTGTAAAGATATATGTAACACAGCATTTGCCAATTCAAAATTTTTTATGTGTACAATTTAGTGACACTGTTTACATTAATCATGTTGTGTGTTTCTTGAGGATTACTTCTCTATAATGGTGTCACTTTCCTCTGAGTCACCAAATCTTAAAAACCTCAGAATCATCCTTGGTATCACTCAGTCCTTGTCCTACTTAGAATAAATAAATAAATAACCTACTAGTTTTTTATGTTGGAGTCCCCTCATCATTTCTCTCACTCCTCCTTATTTTCACTGTTAGTTTAGGGCCCAGGGGTTTCCAGTCTGAGGGGAAAAACGTTTGGAAAAGACTAAGGGATCCTTTTGTTTATAACCATGGGAGGGTGGTATAAGGCTTTTACTCTCATTTAGGGTCTGAGGTTCAAGGATGATAAAAGTCCTGTCATACACAGTAGTCCCTTTTAAGGAAGAATTGTTCAGTCCAAAATGCCCATAATGTCTCAGTAGTTGAGAATCAAGGACCCTTGGTTGCTCTCTTGCTTAGAACACTTGCCCTTGCCTGCTTGCTGGACTGTGTGTGGAACTCCATTCTCTCCCCTCTCTAAACCAGTCCACACGCCATTGCAAAAGATGTAAGACTGAAAAATTAGTCTGCCAGAAGGACTTTTCTAGCTGTGCCAAACTTCTGCTCAAAAGTCTTTAGTGTCCCCTGATTCCATGCCAGATCAAATAAAATCCACTCTAACCTAACATCCAATGGCCTCCACAACTTTACATAATCCAGTTTTCAAGCCTTACTGTCTCCTGTTTTTCTTCGCAGGTCTTCAGCTTCAACAAATCTAAATTGCCCAGTTTTCTTTAAAAGTTCTGCCCCTTGCATTCCAGTGCTTATTCATGTTGTTTCCTCTGCCTAGAATTTCCTTCCCCTCCTGCTTTGCCCTTTTAAGTCCTACCTGCTCTTCAGGATAAAGTTTCCTCCTCCATAAACCTTACCTGATCCCTAAGGTAGGAAGTAACCTCTAAAGTTCCTTAGGATTTCATCTGAATCTCTCCTATAGCTGTCTATATTCCCCATTGTACACAGCACTTCCTATAATTGTGACTTCAAAAATTAATGAATTGATGTATTAAAAAAAAAAAAAAACCTAAGTTGCACTATAAATAGCATACAGTTTGAAGCCAGAATCTCTGGATTTGAATCCTGGCTCAGTCACTTACTAACTATATGTCTCTTGGGCAAAGTGCTTAATCTATCTCTGCCTCAATTTCTTCACCTGTAAAATGGGGATGATGATAATGTCTGATTCATAAGATTGTTATGAGATAAAATGAACAGCTATATGGAAGGTACTCAGAAGTGTTGGTACATAGGAAGCAGTGAGTAAGTATAAATATACATTTAAAAAACAGAAAACGTAGGTGCTATGCATAGTGCATGGGTGTGGCTCATATTTTGAGAGAAAATCGCTTCTCATTGAATTGCCTCGTCATTCAGTCAGACCCCATAGGTCAGTTAAATGTAGGCTGTGTAGTTGTACAGAATGGAAGTGACAACGTAATCTCCACAGCTTTTCAGAGCAGTTTTCACATTATGCTAATGCAGCCCGCAACATCAGTTCCAGTTCTCAACACCCCGACACGTGCTCCATGACCTGATCAATTGGTTGCTGCAGGGTCACCAGCTGTGATGAGGATGAAAGTTTCCAGGACAAAGTGAAGTTGTCCCTCAGCCTCCTCAGGGACTTTCCTTCTCCCTATCCCACTCCCAACTTGGAACTAATTTAATATAAATGCCAATCTTCAGAATCTCATTTTACTTTTACCCATTCTGTGGACTTCCTCTTGTAAACTTTACCTTTGGACTGTTTTCTGCTGCCTAAATATAAACTGTCTAAGAGAATTGAGCAAATAGCTGTTCATGAGCAGGAATAGATTCTGAGCCCCAGAGATAACATACATTTATTTGCAACATAAATATGGTACGAAGAACTATAGACATCTCTTGAGATTCACCAGGATCATCCCCAGCCTGGCAATTCAAGGCTAGCTCCTGGGTCTCATTAGCACCTTTCCTGATCGGGGCAAATGTCACACCTTCCTCCATGAGGTGATACGCAATTAACAGTGTACTGTCTGTGTGACCTTGAGCATGGCCCCTAAACTCTCTGAGTCCCAGACATCTAGAAAACAGTGCTTGTAATGTTGACTTTGAAGGTGTGTTGTGTTTAATAGGTAGTATTTGTAGAGCACTAACCATGTACAAGTGTACACAAATTATTGCATTTAGTCCTTATAAAAACCCAATGAGGGAGGTCCTAGTGTTATCACCAGTTTTACAGGCTAGGTAAGTTAGCAAACCACATCACAGGTTTATCAAGGAGAGAAATAAATGGGAGAATGTCATTGCAATACTATATGGATATGAGGTAGGAGGCAGACCGTTGAATCTAACATCCACTCTGAATAGCACTGGTATGAAATGTGGCAGTTTGAAGTTGCCTAGGCATTCATGCCAGTGTAATTCTCAAAGGAAAGCAAGTTTCCATTTGCACTGAGTTTTCCTTCCACGTACAAATTGGTGATTCTCAAACCTGGCGCATACTAGAATCACTTCAGGAATTTTTTTTTTTTTTTTGAATACTGATGCCTAGACCCTACCTAACCCCAGAGATTTAGACTAATTTGCTCGGGGTGGGGGCTCTAGTATTGATATTTTTAAAAAGCTCTGAAGGTGATTTTGGCCGCTGGGCGTCACAAACCATTTGCACTGTACTGCTACCCAAAAGGAGCCCTGGTGACACAGTGTCTGAGAGCTTGGCTGCTAACCAAAAGGTCAGCAGTTCAAGTCCACCAGCCACTCCTTGCAAACCCTGTGGGGCAGTTCTACTGTGTCCTATAGGGTCGTATAAGTCAGAATTGACTTGGTGGTAGTGTGTTAACAAACCAAAAGACTGGCAGTTCAAACCCACCTAGCAGTGCTGAGAAAGAAAGGCCTGGAGATATGCTTCTGTAAAGATTACAACCAAGAAAACCCTGTGGTGCTCAGTTCTGTTCTGTAATACATGGGGTTGCTATGAGTCAGAATCGACTTGATAGCACAGGTTTGGTTTTGTAGATGATTTAGTGAGAACCTCTGCCTCCAGGGTATCGGTGGGGCCTGTCTGAGAAAGCGGCTCTCAGCCTGTCTTCTCTCTCCTTCCCTGGCACAGTGCTCCACCACATGTGGGCTGGGCGCCTACTGGAGGAGCGTGGAGTGCAGCACCAAGATCGATGCCGACTGCGCGGCCACTCAGAGGCCTGACCCTGCAAAGAAATGCCACCTCCGTCCCTGTGCTGGCTGGAAAGTGGGAAACTGGAGCAAGGTAATTTATCAGACTCGGCGCTGTCCTGGGGGGGAGATCATATATAAGCATTTGCTCAAGTAGGGTTCTCTTTCTCTTCCTGCCTCTTTTCTGCCTCTTCTCTTTTATAAAATTTTGGATGAGTAAATCATAGGGATTACCATGGGAGCCCTGGTGGCGCAATGGTTAAGTACTCGGCTGCTAAATGAAAGGTTGGTGGTACGTGTCTCATTTGCTCATCTCTGGTTCTCCTGGGCGGACTTACCCACCAGACAGGAGACTGGAACATCATTTATCCTCTTTAGTCTCCTTTTTCTAAAGTAAGGCTCTGATCTTTAGGAAGAAGGGCTAAGTGGGGACATGCCTTAGAAAATTTGCCACACATTCCTCTGACACCTGCCAACCTCCCTTTCTCTGTTTCCACTTCATTTTTCTTCCTGGATTGAATGCTGCTTCTTTTTTTTTCTCTTCCTACTCATAACCAATTCAGGATCCAGCAAAGACTGAGTGCTTGGCTACAAATTGTCTTCCATACCCAGAAAAATCTCAAGAAACATCTTACATCCCTGACCTTGCTAAATGTTGACCACATCCTAAAGTTCTATTTCCTCCTCACTGAGGATAATCCTTTCCTTAGAAATTACATGGCTCAAAAAACAGACAGATGCATGAAATAGCTTGCACTTTGAAGAGGTCATTGTAAGCCTGGGAAATGCTAGCTGGAAAACCTTGAATGAGACTTTGGTGAGCTCTTCTCTGGGATCAGGCCTCCTAATGAAAGTCCTGCTCGGCCACTGCCTCCTTTGTCTTTATTCTCTGTCTTCTCTCTTCCATAGCCTGGAGTGTTGCAGATACATTTATTAGACCCTGTAGTACTCCTAGGAGTCCCTGGGTGGCGCAAATGTTAATGCACTCAGCTGCTGACTGAAAGGTTGGAGGTTCAAATCCACGCAGAAGTGCCTCGGAAGACAGGTCTGGCAATCTACATCCAAAAAATCAGCCACTGAAAGCCCTATGGAGCACAGTTCTACTGTGACACACATGGGGTTGTAATGAGAGGGGATTGACCCAATGGCAACTGGTTGGATTTTTTGGTAGCACTCCTAGTGGTTTTGTAGCAGCTGTCTCTGACAGGACATCAAGTTCTGTTAATTTAGACTTTATCTTAAATCTTGACAATTAAGCAAGACTCTTTCTTTGACTACCACATTATTAACCAAAGGAGCCTTGGTGGCACAATGGTTAACCACTTGGCTGCTAACTGAAAGGTCAGTGGTTGGAACCCACCAGCAGCTCCAAGGGAGAAAAGACCTGGCAATCTGATTCCGTAAAGATTAAAGCCTAGGAAACCCTGTGGGGCAGTTCTGCTCTTTCCTATAGGGTCACTATGAGTCAGAATTGACTCGACGGCACACAGCACAGATGTCTGAAGTCCAAGTCATGCACTAGGAAAGATTCGAGAGCCTTTTTTCTTAGCTTCACTAATTCTGTCAAGCCTTTTAAGTTTACTCAGAGGCAAACCTCCAGACACTAGAGTAGGCTCCTGAGTTTGCCTTTAAAGATCTGGAGGGTTTATATTCTGCCAAGTTGACAGCTTGCCTTTTCAGAGCTTTTCTCTCAGAGAGAAAAATTCTAATTTTACCTGGAATCTTCTGCATTTTCCCACTGATCTCCACCCTAGGTTCGGAGACTTTGACTCTTATTGGACTGACGGCAATTACAGGGGACTCTAGCCTCACCTGAACCCACAGGCATCATACCTGAGGCACTCCAGGTGACTTGTCAGTAATTGCCCACCACTGCTATTGCTGTCTGAATTAGAATTGTTCTCCTGGCTTACGTTTTTTATGCCACTCCCCCTCACGGTGACACCTGAAAGAACTACTGTGGACATCTTCTCATGTACAAGACAGTAGAATGAGACTCTACATTCAGACTTCTACCTTTACAGTGTCTGATGTTATTGTTGTTAGGTGCCATCAAGTCGGTTCCGACTCATAGCAACCATATGTACAACAGAAGAAAACACTGCCCAGTCCCACGCCATCCTCACAATCCTTGTTATGCTTGAGCCCATTGTTGTAGCCACTGTGTCTAGAAGGAGTTTATCGGAGTGGCTTGCTTCCTCTCTGTGCACTGATCTGTTTGAAACAACATCAAGGTTGTAGACCTGAGGTTTGTCCTGGAGGCATAGTTGGGAAAATTAGCTTCTACAGAGCTGAATCCTAGGGGCAGCACTAGGCTCGGCCTCAGATATGCCCGGGTTGGCAACCCTACGCTGTCCCTAACCAGCATGTTTCTCACTCTTCAGAGCTTTAATTTTCTCACCTCTGCTTGTCCTATAGAGTGGTATAAGTATAAAAAGAGAAAATGTGTATGAAACAACTTTGCAAATGGTAAAAGAGTGTTCAAATGAAGCACTGAGTGAACTTCGAGCTCTGTAGAAAGGCTAAAACCAGTCGTCTGCTGTCCAGTCGACTCTTACTCATGGCGACCCCATGTGTGTCAGAATAGAGCTCTGCTCCATAGGTTTCCAAGGCACCTCTGGGTGGACTGGAACCTCCAACTGTTCATTTAGCAGCTGAGTACGTTACCAACTACATCACTTGGGGACTCCTGTGTAAAGTTTCGGGCTGGCTATTAGGCATTTTGAGGAGCCCTGGTGGTGCAGTGGTTAAGTGCTTGGCTGCTAACCAAAAGGTCAGCAGTTTCAACCACCAGCCGCTCTGCAGGAGAAAGATGTGGCAGTCTGCGTACATAAAGATTTACAGCGTTGGAAACTCTGTGGGGGCAGTTCTACTCTGTCCTATAGGGCTGCTAAGTCGACTTAATGGCAACAGATTTTGGTAACAGGTATTTAGCGGTCCCTTGTTTGCAACTGGCTGGTAACCTAAAAGTTAGTGGTTCAAAGTCACCCAGTGATGCCATGGAAGAAAGGCCTGGCAATCTGCTTCCATAAAGATTACAGCCAAGAAAACCCTACGGAGCAGTTCTACTCTCTAACACTTGAAGTTGCTGTGAATCGGAATTGACTCAACAGCAATGGGTTTTTTTATTAGGCATTTACTAACCTCTGGCTTCCTGGACTTGGGGCAGGAGGGCTATGCACAGGTGACAGCAGAGTAAGTCCTATCCACAGAGTGACTGTCCTGAGCAGGTGTTCACTGTCCAGCACCAAGCAGACAAGGTGCTCACAGAGTCCACAAACTTGAGAGGACCTGACCTCCTAGGGGCACTAGTACTTGTCAAGTACCACCACATGCTCGGCATTGCATCAGATCTTTAGCTAAACAATTTCTTTTCATCCCATTACAGGACCTTCTGAGATTATAATTCCCACTGAGGAAACTAAGCCTTGGAGTATTTAAATCACTAACACTTGGTCACCCAGCTAGTACTGAATAGTTTGCATTCTAAGAAACCGTCAGCTGGAGGATGCACCAGCAATTTAATTACAGCTTTTCAGAGAGAAAGGAAACATTACACAATAAATATGTACATCAACTCTAATATACATGCCAATTTCAGAACATGAATATTTGTAGGGGGGAAAAGTGATTCTTCTGATAGAAGAGACACTGTAAGTGAGAAACATGAGCTTGAAAACCTCCCATTTGGTTTGACACCAAAACTATGCATTGTCCACACTTCCACGCACTTTCTGATTAAACATTTTGCCTGTACCTTCTGAGTTTTGCAAACAGCTAATTTGACAAACTCTTTATTACCTTCGTGGGATCAGCATGCCCTTTCCATACAAAGTCTCGTGGATCTTGATTATTTCTAAAATAAGTCACAAAGACTTTTACATTTTTCTTGGAATGATCTATCATCTCCCATAGGTATCATTGCAATTTTATTTTAGCAGTAGTTGACTTTGTTACCTAGAGCTTTGCTGGAAAATAAGAGGAAGTGACGGCCTTTCCTTATGGCGTTGGGTTTCATATAGTCTTTGCTAACTAGGCTTTCTGTCTTATTCTAGTTCTTGTCTCCATGTTTATTGGATTTTACAGATTGTCTATGGCAGTGCTACATTTCGAAAATTTGAATTTTTAAAAAATGAATTAAATAATTCCTGTCTTGATAAAAAAAAAAAAAAAAAGTCCTCTACTTTCATACATAGCATGTTCCTAGAAACATATATAGTCATGCGCCATATAACTTCCCTTTGGGTAACATCCAACCAAATATATATCTGTGGTCCTATAAGGTTATAATGGAGTTCAGAAATCCCGACTGGAGAATAGAACGTAACAGACTTAACCGGACTTAGTGAATCCAACAGCTTCCCATACACTAACACGTGTATCTCATGTCTTTTGTACACAAAGCAATTGTGCTGCCAGGCATATAATGGTACAGTACATATATAACCTACAATATATGTGTTTTGATAGTCATAATAAACGCCTCTATTATGTATGTACTGTACTTTCTATCATTATTTTAATGTGAACTTTCCTTACTTACAAACAAAAAGTCTACCATATAATAGTGTAGCTTCAGCTTGTAGACAGCAGCATCCAATCTTGTGTATTGCTCGTCTCTTGAGCATTGTAGTGTTACCACTCTGTTTAATTTTCTTTCAAAAATATTACTGTGAAATGCATCATGGCTCCCAAATGTAACAAAACCAGTGCTAGTGATAGCAACAGCAAGAGGCAAAGGAAAAGTATCAATTTGGAAGTGAAACAAAGGGTTATTAAACAACTCAGAGGTGGAAAATCAATGAATGCTATTGCTCGTGATATAGGCATGTTCGCACCATGTCCAAATCACATAACATCCTATTTCACAGAACATATTGTGGACCTTAAGTGACACGTGACTATATTAAAATCCAATATGCAAAAGTCAAAGCATAGAATTGCATGTTTTAGGGGAGTTTCTGTCCCCAGAGGAGTCCCTGGGTGATGCAAACCGTTAACAGGCTTGGCTACTGACCAAAAGGTTGGAGGTTCGAGCCCACCCAGAGACACCTCAGAAGAAAGGCCTGATGATATACTTCTGAAAAACCAGCCATTGAAAACCCTGTGGAGTACAGTTCTACTCTGACACACTTGGGCTTGCCATGAGTCAGAGTCAACTCAGTGGCAACTTGTTTCTGCCCCTAGAAAGCAAAAATTGAGTATCAGAAAGGTGGATCATACACTGAAAATCACTGCATTTATTTTACCCTTGATGTATGTAATTTGTTGTATGTCTAAACTATCGCCCTCTTTTGACAACCCCAAGTGTTTTACATTAAGAAATACTGTCTTAGGCTGCGTTCTCTAGAGAAGCAAAACCAGTGAAGCGTATGTATGTATGTGTGTGTGTGTATAGAGAGAAAGAGAGATGATTTATCTCAAGGAAATGGTTCATGCAGTAGTAGAAGCTGGTAATTCCCAAGTCCGTGGATCAGGTGTCAGGCTGGAGTCTTCTCCTGACTCACATAACTGCAGTAGCTGACAAACCCAAGATCAGCAGGTCAGATAGCAAGCCACTGGCTCACGGGCTACAGAGGCTGAGGAATCCAAGATCAACAGGTAAGAATGCAGGCTGCTGTCTCACAAGCTGTGGAAGCCGATGAATCCCAAGATCAGCATGTAAGACGGCAGGCTTCTGGCTCACAGGCTGCAGAAGCTGACGATTGGCAGGCAATACAGCAGGCAGCTAGCTGAAGTCCCAAGAACCAGAGGTCAGATGATGTGAGCTGGATGCAGAAACCAGAGTAAGCAAGCAAGCTTTGCCAGAACATACATGTATATATTGGATGTAGGTCATACATTGGAGCATTCTGGCTGTACTTCTTCCAAAACAGATTTGTTTGTTCTTCTGATAGTCCATAGTATATTCAATATTCTTCACCAACACCATAATTTAAAGGCATCAATTCTTCAGTCTTCCTTATTCATTGTCCAGCTTTCACATGCATATAAGTCCATTGAAAATACCATGCTTGGGTCAGGCATGCCTTAGTCCTCAAGGTGACATCTTTGCTTTTAATACTTTAAAGAGGTCTTTTGCAGCAGATTTACTCAATGCAATACATTGTTTGATTTCTTGACTGCTGCTTCCATGGGCGTTGATTGTGGATTCAAGTAAAATGAAATCCTTGACAACTTCAATCTTTTCTCCATTTATCATGATGTTGCTTATTGGTTTAGTTGTGAGGATTTTTGTTTTCTTTACATTGAGGTGTAATCCATACTGAAGGCTGTGGTCTTTGATCTTCATCAATAAGTGCTTCAAGCCCTCTTCACTTTCAGCAAGCAAGGTTGTTAATGAGTCTTCCTCCAATCCTGATGCCATATTCTCTTAATATAGTCCAGCTTCTCATCTGTCAGTCTGTCTAGAATGTTAGGCTAGTTTTAATACAGACAGAGATACATAGACCTAGTGTAGTGAAGTGAAGAGACTAATCCAGAGCCTCGTAGCCACTTGGTGGTGCCATGTTCATTCTTGGATGCAGGCTGTTGACCTTTCAACCCTATGTGTGTTAACTTCACTATATGCATCTGAACACTCTGTATGAATCCAACATGGAAAGCATATCAAGATAACTTCATAGATCAAAACAAACCAGGAAGAAAAGTTTGTGATTTCATTTTATCGCTGCCAGTGGCTTCTGTAAGCAAGGTATTTTTCATTCTAACTCGATTTTGTTAGCAAATCACATCAGTTAAACAAACTGATGCAGTAACTGGAAAATGATTAAGCCTGTTTGGTCACAACAGGGCATTAGCCACTCTTTCTGTCCTCATTAGCCTGGCTCCTGTCGTCAGTCTGGTCCACAGGATCCAGGTTAGGAAAACATGAATAAAAATGACCCTCACCAGGAGCAATCAGAAAATGAATATAATAATTGGCATCCCCTTTATAAAGTCAAACAGTGTTAGGAATGGTATGATTTGATATGCCGGCACTTTCCTCTTGCTAACTTAATCAGAGGCCCTTTTGAAAACGTAATAGAAAAATCATAGATCTAGTGAGTGTCTTCTCCTATTACTATTGGCATTAGCATATTAATGACCTTCATTTCCCATTGAATGCGAATGTGTTATTTGATGAAAGGGTAATGATGATATGAAAATTAAATTTAGGAATAACAGATTACAGCAACAAATGGAAAATAAGAAAATAAAACTCCATTTTACACTAATGTCATGTAAATTGTCCTTTCTCTAATAAACAGCCCTCTTGTTTTAAACATGTGCTATTTCCCAGAAATCTGTTTTGTGAGACAAATGATTGTTTTGTATAGAAATCCATAGCGTGCTTTCTCATTTGTTCTGTGGATAATTTTAAATTGGCAGTTACTTTTTTCTCTTTGTGCTTACTACACAGCAGGAAAAATGAAGTTTTTAATTTGTCTTTGGGGGCTGTCTGGCACATGTGGAGCCCTTGTGGCGCAGCGGTTAAGCATTCGGCTGCTAATGAAAAGGTCAGCAGTTTTAATCCACCAGCAGTTCCTTGGAAACCCTATGGGGCAGTTCTACTCTGTCCTATGGAGTCGTTATGAGTCGGAATCTACTCGACAGCAACAGGTTTTGGTCTAGCAAGTGTTGCTTATTTCTGAGAAGCTAAACACATTAGATTTATAGAAGCATTAGATCAGTTGGCCCCTGGCACGCTGGCCTATGTGTTCCTATGTAACAGCTCAAGGGTTGAAGTCAGGCACCACCAATTGCCGTTAAGTCAGTTCTGACTCATGGTGACCCCATGTGTTGCAGAGTAGGACTGTGCTCCGTAAGGTTTTCATGGCTGTGACCTTTCAGAAGCAGATTGCCAGACCTTTCTTCCGAGGTTCCTCTGGTCGGTTCGAACCACCAATCTTTTGGTTAATAGCCTAGCACTTAACGATTTGTGCCACTCAAGGACTCCTTGAAGCCAAGCAACCTAGGTGCAGTCTGCCAGGCAGCAGAAGAAGGGGGCAGAGCATTTTGGGATCTACTTCTGCTGAAAAGTCTTGAGGAATTTTCTTTCTCCAACTCCAACCCTACATATACAACTATTCCACCATAGCCAGAAAGGAAGTTTGATCTTGTACCATGTTGAGAGGAGAGCCAGACAAAAAATACCTTACCTGGCTGTAGAAGTGGACATACTTTCTTGGTGGTGCATTTTCTCAGCCCAGACTGCCAATGAAATCATCAGTGGAAGGACTGGGAGGGTGCAGATAGATGGTCTTCATCCTTGTGGTGACCAGAAATCTGTCTGGCCCACTGGGAGCCCTCCCAGCTTGTCTCTTCTCAGAAGTCATACATTCTTTCAACAAGCACGTATTGAGCATTTATGCTGCACCTGACTGTGCTAGGTGCTTGGGGTGAACAGAACAGGTAGGGTTCACCTTCATGGCAATCACAGTCTAATAAGGTCAGCCCAAATAAATAAAAGGGATTATATATTTCAAGTTCCCATGATGGAAACAGAAGAGTCTCGTTTAGACCAGGTATTCAGGAAAGGCCTGTCTGAGGAGGTAACATATAAGCTGAGACTTAAAAGAGGAACAGTGGCTAGTAACACACAGGGTGGAGGAGGGAACCTTCAAGACATAAGAACCACAAGGTTCTTATTGTTAACCCAAGGATAATTTGGGGAAGGAGAATTGAGGAGCACAGGTAGCTGCTTTGACCCTACCATGTCTACCCTTGGGTTCCACCTGAGTGTGGGCAGCAACAGAACAGGCCAGGCCAGAACTGACCATGAGAGACCAGGATATAGAGTGAAGACAAGTTAAAGGGATATGACAACCATTAGAAATCTAAACAGACTAGACACCAAGTCCTAGAAGCTCAAATTCCTATCAAGTAGGATCTATGTAGGTGGGAGATGGGGTTGCCTCCGAAATCCAAGAGGTCAGAGTGTAAACAAGAAGCAGTCCTCCTAAACAGCAGTACTACCACTCCTGGTTGTAGGCAACGTGGGCCCATAATGTACATCCTGATCCGAAGGAATTAGCCACCTGCAGGTGAATCATGCTCTTCACTGAGGCAGAGCAGTAATGCTGTCTGTTCTGCCTACCTGTTCACCTCCACAGGTCTGGGATGTGGGAAGTGGGGGATTCCTGGGGCCTGTTTAATGGCTTTCAGTGAGCATGTGGCTAGAAAACTCTAACCAATAGAGGGAGGACATGGCAGCTGTAAGAGGATAGATGGTGGTGGAGACATGGACTGGGTTTGCTCACTCTCCAGGTCAAACCACAGACCGGTGTATTCAATTCATTTCTCTAATACAGTCTCTTCAGTAGAGAAAGGGTAACCGCTTTGCTTTTGCTTTCTGTACAGTGCTCCAGAAACTGCAGTGGGGGCTTCAAGATCCGGGAGATTCAATGCGTGGACAGCCGGGACCACCAGAGCCTGAGGCCTTTTCACTGCCAGTTCCTGGCTGGGATTCCTCCCCGCCGGAGCATAAGCTGTAACACTGAGCCTTGTGAGGAGTGGCATGTGGATCCTTGGAGGCAGGTACACACCCAGAAATGGAGAAACACCATCCACACTACCAGAACAAACTTGAATCGCTGTGTCACCACATGAGTCTAGAAGTCAGGGGAGACCACTCCTGCATCATGCTAATGGTTGACCTCCATTCAGTGACCCAACACTGTACGGGGAAGACTGAACAGGTCAGAACAGCTTTAAGAGCTGAAACCATTCCACTGAGAAGACTATGTTGTATGGTTTCCATCATGACAATTCAGTGTTTTATTACAACCTAGTCTCCCAATAAGGAGACCTGGTGGTGCAAGGGTTAAGCACTTGGCTACTAACCAAAAGGTTGGTGGTTCGAACTCACCAGTGGCTAAACAAACAAACAAAAAAAAACCAAACCCATTGCCGTCAAGTCAATTCCAACTCATAGTGACCCTATAGGACAGAGTAGAACTGCCCCATAGAGTTTCCAAGGAGTGACTGGTGGATTCAAACTGCCAGCCTTGACCATTGCACCACCAGGGCTCCAGTGGCTAGGTGAGAGAAAAGATCTGGTGATCTGCTCCTGTAAAGATTATAACCAAGAAAACCCTATGGGGAAGTTCTGCTGTGTCACGTGGGGTCACTATGAGTTGGAATTGACTCATTGGTGCCCAATAACAACAGTCTCCCAAGGGATATATTGGAAAATCAGGGTCCCTGCTTAAGAAAGAAACACAGAGGAATGACTTGAACATGGACCACTTTGATGAAAGCATTTAAGACAGAACCTCATATCCCTCTCCAAGGCTTCAACAGTCAGGCTGGGATATGGTCAGATCCTTTGCACACACATTATAATTTTAGAGTTCCACCACCCAGTTAAATGCCCAGATTATTGTTTGCAAAAATATAAATAGGTAGCACATGTGTTTGAGTGCGTGTGTGTGCATATGTATGCACTCTTTTGTAAGGGCCCAGACTCTACTTAGTCTTTGTTCTACTTTGTCACATGGAAACAAGTTATTGTTCTTTGGTAAAGTATGATCATCTCATTTTCCAATTAATAATGCCTCTCAGTATCTCATTAGCTAAAACTTGCCCAACTACGTCAGCTCACGGTAGAAATGAGACAAAAGAAAAGAACTCAGCATATTTTGAGTGTGTCCATGGCTAGGCACTTTACCTACAATACTTGATGCTAAGTCTCATGAACTCTATTTTATATGGGAAGAAATTGATACTCAGAGAAGTTAAGAAACTCACCTGAGGTCACACAGTTAGAAAATAAAATGCTGGATTCTAAATTCAAACATAAGGTGGATTGCAATGCTTGTGCTCTTTCCGCTACAGAATGTAGCCCAGTAGGCATTGAACAAACAGAGCATTGAGGAGAAAGGTGAATCAAGAACAGTTTTTCCAGGGCATCTACTATGTACCAGGGAAGGGAAGATATGCAGGATACAGAGTTAGAGCTGAAGCCTGCGGAAGGATGAGCCCTCTAGACCTACTTACTTACTGCCCACTGGGTCAAGCAACTATGTGGCTTCCTGAAGCTCTGGACCACTACCTGGTAGAGGAGGCCACCACTGCTTCTTGTTCCTCCTCCTTCTCCTGCCCAGCTCTGGAGATACATGAAGGGTCTGCTACTCCCATGCTCTGACCCCAGGCCTCCATGCTGTCCATGTATGCTGAGTCTGACCCATACCTGCTCAGGTGACAGCTTCTGGAATCCTGGAATTTATAGAGGAGCTTAGATTGCCTTCTCTGAGCAATAGCATTTACAGGTTATCAAAAGTGAGCATTCAGATTTGCTTTCTGGTTATGAAAAGAAGGTGCCTTCTTTATGCTTCCCAGCCTCTGGGAACCCCGTAATAGGGGACTTGTTCCCTGAGGCCCTCCCACCACCCTTCTTTCTAAACTGTTCTGTACTGAGTTTGCAAAAGCTGAGGACGTTGCGGTATTTTCATGCATCCCTGCTGCTAGGAAAAGAAGGTTATTATATGCGCAAATTATAAAGTTGGAAGACTTCTTTCAGAGGGAGCAGCGGAGATGGAAAATGCAAATGTAATTTGAGTATTTCCCTGGAGCTCTTGCGGGACTGGGCATCCTTAGATGTTTTCCCCAACTTATCATGATGCTGCTCTGCCTGTGCACACCACCTGGTGGTCTGCCATCCTGGGAATGTTCTGTGCCTACTGGGTGAAGGACAGTCAGCCCAGGTGACCTGCATAGCAGATGCATTTCAGCCCTGGGAATGTGTCTCTACACCAGTGGTTCTCAGACTTTAGCATGTATCAGAATCACATGGAGGGCTTGTCAACACACAGATGGCCGGGCCCCACCTCCAGAGTGTCCAACTCAGAGATATGGGGTAGGACCTGACATTTTGCATTTCTAACAAGTACACAGGAGATGCTAAAGCTGCTGGCCTGGGGGACCACGCTGTGAGAACCACTGGTCTACACCTTCTTCCATCCCCCTTTCCTGGAGATTTCTTGGCCAGCTAGCCCTGAATTTATATGCAGACATGTAGGTATCCACAAGGATCCAAACTATGGGATTTTTTTCCTTCTCAAATAGATTGAATAAACAGGAAAAAAAGTCCGTATTGACACTCTAAGTTGGAATACTGGGAAAGCAATTGCTTAGTTCTCTTATTGGGCAGAAAGTGTTGATTGTATATAACTTACCCGTTTCTATGGTAAGGAGCCCTGTGGCTCAGTGGTTAAAGTGTTCCGCTGCTAGCCAAAAGGTCGGTAGTTTGAACCCACCAGCTGCTCCATGGGAGAAAGATGTAGCAGTCTGCTCCCATAAAGATTTACAGCCTACTCTGTCCTATAGGGTCGCTACGAGTCAGAATAACGACGACGGTGGGTTTGGTTTCTTGGTTTGGTTTCTGTGGTACCCCTACGTACACGTAGTACGTGACATGATGGGCATAATGCTGACAACCACAATTGTTTTTTTGGTGATGCTACCATGCAATAACTCAGCTTTTTAAAAAATATTTGATTCTTGGTGAATTATTTAATTTCTTCCTAAAAGCCTCATGAAAGTGAGACAATATACTTTATAAAATTATGTGAGCAAAAGCTTGACACATTTTAGAATTGTATCCCATTCAAGAATCCAACTTGTTAGCTCAAATTTATTTTGCAAGCATTACAGCCAATGCATCAGAACCTTGAGCAAATCCATTAATTTCACAATACCTAGTATGGCCAAATTTATTTCTAAAACTTCATGTAGTGGGGAAGGAAGACTGAATTGCATTTTAATAGGACATGGAAAAATTGGATTGTAATTGTCTGCTCCCTGTTTGAGTTGTCAGAGCTAATCGTAATAAAAAAAATCTAAATTTTACATTTTAGTTTCTAGACACTTACGTCAGAAGGCAAAATTCAGATAACGTTATGTCCATTCCAGAATGACGGCCCATTTTGACTTTTAAGCAAAACTCCTTCCTTTTGACATATTGTTTGACATTGAACTGTTTGACTGCTTCTGATTTTTCCCCTCCTCTGGTCCTCAAGATTTCCTTTATTGACCTCCCTCCCTCTCTTTAATTCTCTTTTTATCGCTGTTGCTTAGAATTACTAGAGTGATCATTGTAAGGCACCCACAAGGATGCTACAGATTCATTATTCCTTATAACGCTGCACGCAACAAATGTGACAGCAAACGTTCTTCCCTTATCACTGAAATTGTCATCACATGGTTTTTGCCTAATCCTGTCCCTGTTCTGTGTCAGTGCTCTAGGTCCTGTGGAGGTGGAGTTCAGGAGAGAGGAGTGTCTTGTCCGGGGGGCTTCTGTGACTGGACAGAAAGGCCCATGTCCATGGCCCCCTGCAACAAGCACCCTTGCTGTCATTGGGCCACTGGGAGCTGGAACCTGGTAAGACTTACAGCAAGAAAGGTTGTGTCATCTGCATATTGCAGGTTGTTAATGAGTCTTCCTCCGATCATATTATTTGCTCAGCATACGGATTGAGTAAGTATGGTGAAAGGATACAACCCCAATGCACGCCTTTCTGGTTTTAAGCCATTTTACCTTTGTCTTTGAAAAAAGAAAATAGCATTTGCTTTCTTTGGATTACAAAAGTAATATATATTCATTGTAAAATATTCAGAAAAAATACGGAAAGTCTGCCCTAAAATAATCTTTAAACTTTGAACCAAAAATACTCTGTGAAGTCTTCTTAAAACCAAACAATAGTCTAGTTTAACTAGTAAAGAATGTCTGTCTTGAGCATTACGCTGTTTTAAGAACTATCTATATGGGATCAGATTGACAACAACAACTCAAAAGATTAGATAGGAACCTTAAGGGGCAGTGAGTTTATTTATGTTAATGAGGGAGGAACAACTCAGAAAAAGGGGGTGAGAATGGTTGCACAACTCAAAGAATATAATTATAAGTGTCACTGAATTGTACCTGTAGAAACTTGAATTGGTATATTCTTTACTGTGTAAATTCTTAACAACAAAAATGAAAGAAAATAAATTATTTTAAAAAAAAGAAAAAAATACAGAAAAGCAAAGAAGAAGAAGAAAGAAAAGAAAATTAACCATATAACGATAACCATTTATAACATAGAATATATGGTACACTTTTATAATCTGCCATTTTTGATTTCATGTTGCCTTTTTCCAGCTAGGTCCCTAGGCATATTCCCTCATCGTTGCTCTTTCTTTTTCTTGTTTCTGTATGTTAGTTCTGTTACTCTTCTGCCATCTAATTCCTCTAAGTCTTCTAAAAGTTGAGCCATAGCTATATAGCGGTCAATGTATACTGTCTTGAGTTCAGAAGAGAAATAATCAAATACTTCCAAAAGAAAAAAAATAGCAAATACTAAAATTAGTTTAGAGGCCCAAAGCCTAAGAAAAGGCCATTTGGGGTTCAAACTCACCTTGAATCTTCTGGTTTTTCCTGAGCAAATAGAGATTGCATATATCCTGAAGATTTAGGCTTAGCCTGATTTAGTGAGCTTCAGGTCTGTTGTCAACTAGATGGCCAGCCTATTTGATAGAGACACAAACAAAATAATTAAATTATAAATGAGGGGAAGATTTATCATTCTCCTCAAATTTATTTATTGCATAAACAACATTATATCAGCAATAAAGAAAATTCTGCCCTTGACCCATTATTCTAACTTGTCTTGCCTTGGATTCTCTAGAAAATAGAGTCCTGAGGCAAAAGCTAACACTGTATTAGGAAATACAATCTCAGAGAAGCAGAAGTGATAGAAAAGAGGAATGAGGTAGGAAATCAAGGAGGGAAATCAAATATGAGGTGCTGAGTTATAGGACTGACCACTCCACCCAGCTAACCACTGCTTGGTATCAGGAGCAAATGATTGCTCACTCTTGCGGGAAGGTCTTCCAAAAGCTGTATGAACCACTGCCTCTTAGGGCAGTTTGTCCCGGGGCAGAAACGGAGAAGATTTATCAGCTGGCTGCTGTCTCCCATTGGGTAAGGAAATACACTTTTCTTTATCATGTTAATCAGATCATACCCAGGCAGGGTGGGTTCTAAACCTAATCACTTCTGAATTATAAAAAGAACAGATTAGAAACAAAGGCACAGATACACGGGGAAAGACAGATGCCATGTGAGAATCAACAAGGAACCAGTGAATGCCCAGGACTACCAACAAGGAAGGAATCAACACAACTGAGACCCTGATTTGGACTTCTGTCCTCCAGCGCTGTCAGAAAATAAATTTATGTTCTTTAGAGCCACCCACTCGTATTTGTGTTACAGCAGCACTAGGAAACAAAGACCCATGTGAACCAGAAATAATAGTAGACACAGCAGCCTCATCTCTACAGGATGCCCAGCAGCTACCCAGGGCTTACCTTCTTTCAGCTCTTGACCCATACAGTGTGTGTGTGTGGCTGGCACGGAATGACAGTCAAGGTTCGTATGCGTCACCTTGACACAGAGAAGCTTTGGTTTCCTGCCAATATTTTATACTGTTCTAGTCACCCACGCTCAAGGCCATGTGCCAACTCACAGTTCTCCCAGTACCAGTATGGGACAGTTCTACGCATCAGGGTTTCCCAGTAGACAGGCAGTCATAACTTTCCACATTTGCTTTAATTCTGTAGTTGCCAAGGAAGCCATACTACAAGGTTACTTTCCCTCCTCTAGGCTGAACCAGACTTTCGTTAATCTAAAGTCTAACGTTAACCCTTTATTCACAATAAAATTCCATCAAGTAGACAGACTATAACTTTACCATTGCCCCTTTGTTAGAGTGTCTATCTATAGGCACCCAACAACTAGCCAATTCATGTTTTTCCCAAAATGAAGGACATGGGTCTCCACAGAAAGGGCTACAAATGCTATAACAAAAAGGGGAAAGGTGAGTGTACTGCCGTGGGGCTCTCTACATTGCATATGCAGACAGGCTGTGCTTCAAACTTCTAGGCAGCCGCAAGACTGCTAGGAATGATTCAAGACAGATGCTGTGTTCAGGGCAATGCTGCCTCCATCTACCACCATGCTGCCCAGGGGCCTGCCTCGCTCCCAAGGCTTTTGCTCTGCCACTGGGCCTCTGTGGGAAGACTTCTGCATAGGATCTCCCAAGCCTCTGCCGCTGGGCCCTTTTAGGCGTCTGCCACTTTTCTCACCATGTTACTCAGGCCCACGTGGTTCTCTGTCTTACCGCCATGCTACCTGGGCCCATACTGTCCAACCCCGTGGCTCCTGCCACACTACCTCTGGGGGAGGTATGTTGCACGGGGCACACTCAGGCCTCTGCCCAGCTTGGGCAAGTGTTACAGCTTTTTTAGCTCCACTGGCAAGTACCCAGAGGCACCCAGCTCCACAGGCAAGCCTCCTGCCTGAAGGCACTTAGCTCTCTCTCCATGGGCCGACCAGCCCACCATCTCTCTATCTTCAGTGTTACAGCTCTTTCTTCTGGATCTAGGAGGTTCTCAGTGCAGCGACTCCGGGTCCAAAGGTGGTCCACTCCAGACCCTTCTGGATGGTAGTGAGGTCCCCCTGAACCTCTGTAGGATTAGCCCTTATATAAGCAAACACTTTTTCAATTTCAAGGCATGGCCCTCCAGCAGGACCATAAAGTGACCAATCACCTCACTAGACCAAAAGTCAGTCAGTCCTATTGGGTGGATTTTCAAACCACTTGTTATGGATTGAATTGTGACCCCAAAAATATGTGTCAATTTAGCTAGGCCATGATTCCCAATATTATGTGATTGTCCACAATTTAGTCATCTGATGTGATTTTCCTATGTGTTGCAAATCCTACCTCTATGATGTTAACGAGGCAGGATTAGAGGCAGTTTTGTTAGTGAGGCAGGACTCAGTCTACAAGATTAGGTTGTGTTGACTCAATCTACAAGATTAGGTTGTGTTTTATGTCGATCTCTTTTAAGATACAAAAGAGAGAAGCAAGCAGAGAGACATGGGGACCTCATACCACCAAAAAACAAGAGCCAGTAGAATAGCACATCCTTTGGACCTTGGGTCCCTGTGCTGAGAAGCTCCTTGACCAGGGAAGAAAGATGACAAGGACCCTCTCTCAGAACCACAGAGAGAGAAAGCCTTCCCCTGGAGTTGGCACCCTGAATTTGGACTTCTAGCCTCCTAGACTGTGAGAGAATAAATCTCTGTTTGTTAAAGCCATCCACTTGTGTTATTTCTATTGTAGGGGCACTAGATAACTAAGACACCACTATTTGCATAATAATAACCCTTGCAAGACTGTGGTCCAGCCAATCATTATGTGAGAGAAACAAGAACATGGCTAGAAAGACCATATAAAAGCAATTGCACTGCAGTGTGGTGCAGAGGAGATCTGTTTCTACATCAGTAAAACCAGAGAACAAATCTTATTTTACATGGCTGTTAGAAGAATTTAACTCGATACATTTGTTATGCATTTAGAATAGTGCCTGTCATATATTAACAGCAAGTGCAAGAAAATCATTCAATGAAAGTGTGTGCATCAAATTGTTTCTCTTCTTCACAGCTATCCACTTGATCTATGTTGATTGAGTGGTGATAATAATGGAGTACAGTCTTCATGTGGAAACCCTGGTGGCATAGTGGTTAAGAGTTCGACTGCTAACCAAAAGGTCAACAGTTTGAATCCACCAGGTGCTCCTTGGAAACCCTACGGGGCAGTTCTACTCTGTCCTATAGGGTCGCTATGAGTGGGAATCGACTCAATGGCAACGGTCTTCATGTATCTCTTTTACAGCTTCTCACAGAACGAGTCTTTACTGATCTGTTAGACCCTGCAAATCAACTTTTCCCTTGCATTCTCATTGAACAGAACATCTAGGATGAATGAGGCTAGTATGAAGTTAAGCTTAGGGTCTGGACAATTCAGTTAGACAATAGCCTTAGCTGGGAGCCAATCAAGTTTAACACCATGCTCATTTCGGGTGCTCAGTTCTGCACAAAAATCCAGTGTTTAATTGAATCCAAAAGAGTAGATATGAGCCCTAAGAGAGATGTTGTTGTTGTTGTTAGTAACTGTCAAATTTGCACCTATGCACAATGGAACAAAATGCTGCCCAGTCCATCCCCATGATCAGTTGTGGATCAGACCATTGTGATCCATAGGGTTTTTATTCACTGATTTTTGGAAGGAGATCACCAGGCCTTTCTTCCTAGTCAGTCTTAGTCTGGAAGCTCTCCTGAAACCTGTTCAGCATCAGAGCAACATACAAACCTCCACTGACAGACACGAGGTGGCTGCACATGAGGTACCTTGGCTGGGAATCTAACCTGTCTCCCACATGGAAGCTAAGAGTTCTACCACTGAACCACCACTGCCCCGTATAAGAGAGATGTACCTTCCCTCTAAAACCTCAACTCACAGCATTAACACAATTAAGAAACCCAGATCAGCAATTATGTTTCCTGCTTAATTTTCCAATTAAATACAACACAAATTTATGCAGCTTCTTAATCAGAAGTCACTTTAATTGACTAATAAATATATGGAGAGTGACCTCTTCTATTTATTTTTGTGCTTGCCTTGGAATTAGCTCTTGCATCTTAATGTACCCTGCCCCAAGGACTTGCACGGCTTCCTGGACTAGCTTAGCCTTGTTCCACCGAGACCTCAAAACCAGAACCAGAAAGCAGGAAAGGAAGTCATTTTGTCTTCATCTAACAACCTTATTTTACAGAGGAAGAAACAAACAGGTTAAGTGAATGGTCCAGGGCCGTATGCAGTGAGCAAAAAAGGCTGAAATCTCCTGAATCCTCCTCCATGCTCATTATCACATTCTGGCTTGATTCACTTCCCTTGCTCTTCCTTCTGTCCTCTGTTGTAGACTTGTTGTTCCTCAAGGTCAGTTGAGAAATTATTTCTTGCTGTTTGTTTCTTATCCACATGCCTGGAGAATTTGAGGTGAATTCACTGACTAAAATTACCTTCAGGCTTAATCTCAGAAAACTATGACTTTATAACACAAACATGAGGCCCCAAGTTGCTCACTATGATATAGGTTTTAAGAAGAGTAGAGAAAAATAAAGCCATAGCTGTTAAGAAATATTTGATGTTTCTTCACTTATTCCCTGTACTGTAGGTCTGTCTTAGTCAGGATTCGGGTTCTCTAGGGAAACAGAACAAGTGACATGTATGTATATATACATATATATATATATAATAGAGAGAGAGAGAGAGACTGTGTATATATATATCGTTGTTGTTAGGTACTATCAAGTTGGTTCTGACTCACAGCAACCCTGTGTACAACAGAACGAAACACTGCCCAGTCCTGTGCCATCCTCACAATCGTTGCTATGTTTGAGCCCATTATTGCAGCCACTGTGTCAGTCCAGCTCCTTGAGGGTCTCCCTCTTTTTTGCTGACCCTCTACTTTACCAAGCATGATGTCCTTCTCCAGGGACTGCTCCCTCCTGATAACATGCCCGAAGTATGTAAGACGAAGTCTTGCCATCCTCCCTTCTAAGCAGCATTCTGGCTGTACTTCTTCCAAGACAGATTTTTTTGTTCTTCTGGCAGTCCATGGTGTATTCAATATTCTTCGCCAATGCTACAATTCAAAGGCGTCAGTTCTTCTTTGGCCTTGCTTGTTCACTGTCCACCTTTCACATGCATATGAGGCAATTGAAAACACCATGGCTTCCATCAGGCGCACCTTAGTCCTCAAAGTGACATTTTTGCTTTTTAACATTTTAAAGAGGTCTTTTGCAGCAGATTTGCCCAATGCAATACGTCATTTGATTTCTTGACTGCTGCTTCCTTGGGCGTTGATTGTGGATCCAAGTAAAATGAAATCTTCGACAACTTCAATCTTTTCTCCGTTTACATTGATATTGCTTATTGGTCTAGTTGTGAGAATTTTTGTTTTCTTTATGTTGAGATGTAATTCATACTGAAGGCTATAGTCTTTGATCTTCATCAGTAAGTGCTTCAAATCCTTTTCACTTTCAGCAAGCAAGGTTGTGTCATTTACATATTGCAGGTTGTTAATGAGTCTTCCTCCATTTGGATTATTTGTTCAACATACAGACTGAATAAGTATGATGAAAGATACAACTCTGATGCACACCTTTCCTGATTTTAAACCAAGCAGTATCCCCTTGTTCCTTCCAAATGACTGCCTCTTGGTCTGTACACAGGTTCCTCATGAGCACAATTAAGTGCCCGGGAATTCCCATTCTTTGCAGTGTTCTGCTGCTATTCATAAGGTTTTCACTGGCCAATTTTTTCAGAAGTAGACTGCCAGGTCCTTCTTCCTAGTCTGTCTTAGTCTGGAAGCATCACTGAAACCTGTCCACCATAGGTGACCTTGCTGGTATTTGAAATACTGGTGGCATAGCTTCCAGCATCATAGCACCACACAAGCCACCACAGTACGACAAACTGACAGACAATATGTACGTATATATATGGTCTGATACAGTATTAGAAGATGAGCCCCCTAGGTGGGAAAGATGATGAAGATAGCACAGGACTAGGCAACAAATTTGTTCTGGTTTACGTAAGGTTGCCATGAGTTGGAGCCAACTCAGTGGCAACTAACACAACATGTCTCCTTCTCTCTCTCTCTGTTTCAAGGGATTGGTTCACACGATTTCAGGGAGTTGGCAAGTCCCAAATCCATTGGTCAGGCAACAGGCTGGAGACTCCTGCAAGCTCATGTCCCAAAATCGATATTTCAGGCAACAATTAGAGTGAAGAGAGTACAAGTGTTCTGGTAAAAATTATTTATAGTCTGGACACAGAACATGCCCTAGGGAAGCTCCCTTTTTGCTCTTAAGACCTTCAAATGATTGATTGATGCCCACCTACATTATGGAAGGTAGTCTGCTTTACATTAGGCCAACTGATTTAATCACATGTAATTATAACAGCAACTAGACTAGTGTTTTACTAAACACTGACACCATAGCTCAGCCAAGTTGATACATAAATTAATCATTACGAGGTCTCTGGGGGAAACAGAGTGTGGTAGGAGGGTTCTGAATTTATCGGTGGTATCCCAGTGTGCATGTTTTCTTATCTAGTAAGCTGGGTGAGTGTCCAATAAGATTCTAAATGGCAAATGGAATCTTTTAAAACTAGCGATTTTTCTAGAAATTGGTATGCTGCATCTTCTTCGGCCAAACCAGTGAGTATTTCTTGAATGTCAGGCCATGTTTAGCATTGTTCTCATTGCTGTGAAGGACAAAGAAAGAGGAACTGATTTCTGCCTTCTGGGAGGTTTTAACCACATAAGAAATATGAGGCTAAAAGTAATAAAACATGAAATAGAATGTAAAGCGTGGGAGTATATGGTAAATTGAGACACATTTTGTGACATCTCCAGAGATTATTTTATATAAGCTGCTTCCACAAGCCAGAGAATCTCCATTCTGCTGCCAGGTGGCCACATAATGACATTACAATGGAACTTAATCTGTTGGGGGGTGGGGGGCTAGTACTGAGACCACGGGTGGTCCAGCTAAATTCCGATGGTATAGTCATGGGCGGGGCGGGGGAGGGAAGTAGGCCATTCTCAAATTTGGGAAAAAAAAATTTTTTGTACTTTAGGTGAGGTTTACAGAACAAACTAGCTTCTCATTAAACAGTTAGTATGCATATTGTTTTATGACATAGGTTGACAACCCCACGACTTGTCAACACTCTCCCTTCTTGACCTTGGGTTCCCTATTACTAGCTTTCCTGTCCCCTCCTGCCTTTTAGTCGTTGCCCCTGGGCTGCTGTGCCCCATTAGTCTCGTTTTGTTTTATGGGCCTGTCTAATCTTTGGCTGAAGGGTGAACCTCGGGAGTGACTTCATTACTGAGCTAAAAGGGTATCTGGGGGCCATACTCTCAGGGTTTCCCCAATCTTTCAGGCCAGTAAGTCTGGCCTTTTTTGTGAGTCAGAATCTTGTTCTATATTTTTCTCCAGCTCTGTCCGGGACCCTCTATTGTGATCCCTGTCACAGCAGTCAGTGGTGGTAGCCAGGCACCATCTAGTTGTACTGGACTCAGACTGGTGGAGGCCGTGGTGGCTGTAGTCCGTTAGTGCTTTGGACTAATCTTTCCCTTGTGTCTTTAGTTTTCTTCATTCTCCAAGAAGGGCACGCTCTTTAGAGAACATGATAATAAATCAGGCCAAATTCAATCCACAGTCATATAAGACAGGATTCTTCTTAAATTCACATTTCCAAATTATTAGTGCCCTTATTCTGTTTACTGACTCTTTCAAGGAGGTTTCTGGTAATTGAATCTTCCCCATATTTGACCACAGTGGGGTTAGAGGTGTTCTGCTGGTAACCTGACCCAGAAAAGAATTCTGACTCTCTTGTGTCCCTCTTTCTTTCAGTGTACCACTTCCTGTGGAGGTGGCCTTCAGAAGAGGACTGTCCATTGTGTCTCCTCAGAGGACAATAAAACTGAAGACCAAGGCCGGTGTCTGTGTGATCACGAACCCAAACCTCCAGAATTCCGAAAATGTAACCAGCAAACCTGCAGGAAGGCTGCCAGTGAGTGAAAGGGTTTGCTCCGGGTGGGAAGAGAGCTTTTCACAAATAAGTCGTTTCACAGGACTCAACTTGTGGATAGTTTTACATTACCTTTACTGAGCAGAGAATATTAATGCTGAAGAGGCCAGCCAGCTCCTGTGGGAGCCAGCCATCTGATATGCCTTTTAACCATTTGACTCTAATTCCTTAAGGGATTATATCACCGGGTTTCCCGTGTCAAAGCACATGCATACTGACATCACATGGATGAGAATCACTTCTATTTCTTCAAAGATTTCGCTGAGAGATTCTCTAGCCTTTCTTAGAAACCCAGTCAAGTGTGGAATTGTCCTCTCTATCAGTTGAAGTTCATTTGCTTTCATTCTGCCCTCAGTGAATACCAAAAAGAGCAAAATTCAGAATCCATTCCAGTTCATTCCCAGTGCAATGAGAAATATTAACCAGCTTCTAGAATCGTAAGAACACTTTGAACATGTAAGTTGTGTCCTTCACATTTTAGCACAAGTTCTTTCTTTTTTTTATTTGATTTTTGAAGTATAACCTATTGTCAGATTGCTTTAGGCATAAAATTACCACACGTAAAAATTTAAGGAGCCCTGGTGGCACAAACGGTTAAGTGCTTGGCTGCCAACCAAAAGGCTGTCGGTTCGAACCTACCCAGTGGCTCAACTGCTGCTCTAGACTGTGGTTTCACAAATGCAGAGTTGTGCTGAGAGTGATAATAGCAGTTGCACCACCAGAGGCGTTGTAATCAGTCCTTACAGCGAGGCTGTAAGGCTGGTGGTTGTTTCTTCCATTTTTTAGAGCCCTGGTGGCACAGTGGGTAAGTGCTAGGCTGCTAACCAAGAGGGTGAAGTTTGACTCCACCAGCCGCTCCTCGGAAACCCTATGGGGAACCCTATGGGGCAGTTCTACTGTGTCCTATAGGGTTGCTATGAGTCGGAATTGACTCGATGGCAGTGGGTTTTTTGTTTGTTTGTTTTTAAACTGTGATGGAGAGAGCCACACAGTTCTAAGTGGTAACACTGTAACTCAGTTCCAGGTCACTTTGGACCCAAAACCCACCCTCTTTCCATTGAGCCCTGCTGTCCCTTCAATAGGACTCCCTGGGTGGTGCAAATTATTAACATAATTGGCTGCTAACCAGAAGGTTAGAGATTTACATCCCCCCAGATGCACCTCGGAAGAAAGGCCTGGAGAGCTGTCTCTGAAAAATCAACCATTGAAAACCTACAGAGCACAGTTCTTCTGTGATGCACATGGCATGACCGTGAGCCGAAGTCAACTCGATGGCCGCTGATTTTCAACTGGTTCCTTAAGCAATTTATCATCTAAGCCAGGGGTTGGCAAACTGTGGCCAGTGGGCCCAATCCGGTCCAGCCACTATTTTGTACAGCCCATAAATACAGCCATGGTCATTTGTTTATGTACCGTCTATGGCTGCTTTCACGCTTCAGTGGAAGAGTATGTGGCCTATTGGCCCACAAAACCTAAAATATTTACTAGTTTACTCTTTACAAAAATGTTTACTAAACCATGCCAAGGTAGAGAAAGAAAATTTTCTAGAAGGGTAAACAACCAGACTTTTTTCCACGCTTGCTATCATATATACACACCCATGTGACCATAGGAGCTTTGGTGGTGCAGTAGTTAAAGCACTGGGCTGCTAACCAAAAGGTCGGCAGTTCAAACCCACCAGCCACTCCATGGGAGAAAGATGTGGCAGCCTGCTTCCGTAAAGATTTACAGCCTTAGAAACCCTATGGGGCAGTTCTACTCTGTCCTATACGGTCGCTATGTGTGGGAATCGACTCCAGCAGTGGGTTTCGTTTCAGTGGGTTTTATGTGGCCTTGGAGACATTTATCCAGCTAGCATTCGGGGTTTAAGCTGTTCGAATGATTCTGTAATCAGTTTGTGAACTTTCCAGATCCTTTGCTTTCCTTTCTTCTCCCCTTTCATTGCTCTTTGAACCATTCTGGTGCTTTTTGTGGCATCTCTACCAGCACGTACTGGGCAGAAAGAGCAGCACAGACTCAGTCTTAGTTTTGCCAAATACTAGAAACAAGCTAAGGAATTTCCTGGGGGCATTCGACCCAGGTGCTAGAGCTCACAGATGGGAGCTGGGATTTATTATCCAAACATCTGTTAATTTACTTCCTACAACCTAACCCAACTCCAGAAAGGTGCCAGACGGGCTGGTAAATTAGTGAGGACAGCCCAGGGTTAGTCACGTATGGGGCAAGGAAGGAAAACTTACATATTATTTTATGTATACATAAAACCTGGCCCCATTGGAGATGGTAGATATTTAAAAATTCAGGAATTCTACTACTGGAAGAGTCAAACTACCTTCGAGGAAATGCCTTGCCAGACTTAGTTCTCCTGTGATCCAGGTGGGCAGGTGGGGACAGTCACCCCAAATGACAAAAATACAAGTTAGGCTTCTGGTCTTTGCTGCTCACACACCTGCTTCATTCATTCCACAAACATTTATGAGGCATCTACCATGTGCAGGCACTGCTCTGTGTGCCTGAGTGAGAGCAGTCCCTGCACCAATAGAACTTGTATTCTAAAGGGGAGGTTGACAATGAACAAGCTAAAGAAAACAAAAACACAGTTATATAATAATATCAGATAGTAGAAATTGCAGGGGAACTCTGGAGTGTCAGTTATGCCTAAGAGTTGTCCTGTCCTAAGGCCGGTGAGCTGGGCTTTCACAGTCCCACAGTCCTCAGCCATTAGAGAGCCTCAGTGAGAGGTGAACTATCATTGGCCTACTTGGAACACCAAAAGTAGCCACCTAGGGCTCATTTTCAAAGATGGTTATTAATTTTTACTCTTCCAGACTCTTGTTACTCAAAGTGTGGTCCCCAGACCAGCTGTATCAGCATCACCTGGGAGCTTGTTAGAACCAGAATCTTGGGCCTCATCCCAGACCTACTGAATCAAAACCTGCATTTAGGCAAGGTCCTGGTGATTCAGATGTATGTGACAAGTTGAGAAGCACCCTTGTTCTAAACCACATTTCAAATCCTTTTCCTTTCATTTCATCTCAGCACCTTCTATGAGATGATGCTTAAAAAATGTTGAAGCTATGTAATCCTTTCTGTGTTGTGTTGCTCCTCATATTGCTGAAGCAGCAGCCTAGTCTTGGTTGACCATGCCTAACCTTATGGGATTTTATTTTTTTTTAATTCTATGTAGAGTATCTTTAACTGTCCTATTGCTAGACAGTGCAATCTTCAAGAATCAAAACTGGGTTAAATGCATCCTTGGTATTTTTCATTTTTAAATCTCACACTGAAGACATGGTGACTAATAGTTGGCTGGCAACTGATGTAAATGACCATGAATTCCACTCACTGGCAATTACCAGGGTAAAAAAAAAAAACCCAGTTAATTACTAGCTTCTCATGAAGGTAGAGCCATTCTAACTCATATAGAAGCAATATGAAAGAACAGCTTCAAGAAATTCCTTGATTTAAGGAGCCTATTACCCACCCTGACCCTGTCCCCTCTAAAATGCTTTAAAAATAAATCATTCAATGTCCAGCTTCTTCTCAGCCAGCATCACAATAAAAATACCCCCTAAGTCCATCTTGTAAGACTATGAAATTCATATAAGATTTGATTTCCTCTAGGTTATCTTAGTTCTTTTAGGTACCATCTGAATTTTTAATAACTTAAAATCTAATTTGGAACTACCATTTCCATAGTTGTTGTTGTTACATGCCATCAAGTTGATTTTGACTCATGGCGACCCCATGTGACAGAGTAGAACTGCCCCGTAGTGTTTTCTAGGCTGTAATCTTTATGGGAGCAGATGGCCAGGTTTTTCCCACAGAGCCTCTAGGTGGGTTTGAACCTCCAACCTCTTGGTTAGCAGCTAAGCGTTTAACTGTTGGATCATCAGCACTCCTTATTTCCATAGTAGGGGCTGCAAAACCCTTTTCCAAGTAGTTGGGTTTGCGCTCGACTACTAACCTAAAGGTTGATTGTTCAAACCCACCCAGTGGCACTGCAGATGAAAGGCCTGGCAATCTTGCTTCCATAGAGTTACAGCCAAGAGAACCCTATGGAGCAGTTCTACTCTGTAACGCATGGCAACTCGATGACAACTGGTTTGGTTTGGTTTGGGGGTTAAAAGAAAACATCGAGCAAATTTTCCAGAAATATTTACTGAATATCGGCTATGTTTTAGACTTTGCATTCATATTGATTTAAAAAAACAAAAACAAAAACCTTATGCACACCATTCCTGGTGTTGTTTTCTTTATTTATTCGGTGAGAGGTAGAGAAAGAAAGGAAAAAAAATAGGGAAATTAATAGAGATTGTACCTAGACCCATTGTTGATTCAAATGAACGTTGGAGTCAGTAAATTCTCAGCTGAAGAATATTTTTCCAGATTTCATCTATTCACTTATTCAACAAACATAATTGATCATAAGATATGTCCCAGGCATGTGCTAACACGAAGTAAGGAGACAGAAATGAATAAGACACAGCCCCTGCCTCAGAGGACTTGGAAAGGCCTCAAAGTCTTATGGAAACTTTAATTGTCAACAATATTGACCTTGTTTTTCAGGTTTGTTTTGTGGGCAAAACATTATCCCTTCAATCTAGACACAGCCCGCAGCAAGGAGCAGGCTTATAACTGTCCCTTTAAATTTCCAAGAATGGTTTCTATTGAGCAGGCAGAGGCAAATTGGGCTCTCCTCTCCAAGTTGCTCCTAATTATGAGCATTGTATGTACTTTAGGGCCGGAATCCACTTGGCTGATGAACACAAGAAGCCTTCATTGTTATAAAATAATGAAGAGAGCTGTTGGAATTGAGCCCTGCCATGATGCTTGGCTCATAGCCATTGTCTAAAGGAGCTGCTAAACACAGGCCTGGAACATAGGCTCCCAATATAGGCTACCACCGTGCTCCATCCTTCCTTCCGTGACCCTACTCTCAAACGCTGAGGACCCCAGCACCCAGCATGTATCCCGAGCTCTGAGGACCATTGAAAATCAGGGTTAGGGATCTCATGGTTCCCAGGATTGGGCAAGGACCCCAGGCTGGGTTGAGCCTCTTTCAGTCATTTAGTTGTTAACCTAACCTGGCAAGTGGGGGCCTCTATATTGAACGAGTTAAAATGTTCTGGGTAAGGAGGACCTGTCCGTGTGATCCTGTCATCCTCCATCACCAGTGCATGAGTTTCCTTCTCTTGGTGGCAGAGCGTGAGAAGCATTGAGACAGGATTTAAATTCCATACCAGCTATGTGATGTTGGGCCAGCTACTAAGCATCTCTGGAACCCTCAGTTTTGTTTTAGTCTTGAAGGAGTAAAGTAGAAGGACCTAGAAGTAAATTTCTATGAGGATCAAATAAAATAATATATGTCAAGCACATTGCCTACTACATGGTAAGTGCTTATTAAATTGCCATGAGGTATTCCAGTCACCTCATATGCATGGGAAAGCTGGACAACGAATAAGGAAGACCAAAGAAGAATTGAAGCCTTTGAATTATGGTGTTGGCGAAGAATATTGAATATACCACGGACTGCCAGAAGAATGAACAAATCTGTCTTGGAAGAAGTACAGCCAGAATGCTCCTTAGAAGGGGGGATGGTGAGACTTTGTCTCACATACTTTAGACATGTGATCAGGAGGGACCAGTCCCTGGAGAAGGACATCATACTTGGTAGAGGGTCATCAAAAAAGAGGAAGATCTTCAACGAGATGGACTGACACAGTGGCTGCAACAGTGAGCTCAAGCATGGCAACGATTGTGAGGATGGCACAGGACTGGGCATTGTTTTGCTCTGTTGTACAAAGGGTCACTATGAGTCAGAACTGACTCAATGACACCTAACAACAACAATGTCATTGTTATTCTTATTGCCATTTGGGAGGTTAAAGACTTGGGGGTGTCTAAGAAGACTTTTTATGATGGGAGACACCCCCTAGAGAGATCACACTTTAGCCCTTAGCAGAAAAGGCTGGCACACCCTGTAGGAGACAGTTCAGGACAGAGCATGGCACCATGTTGAGCAAGTGTAACCAGGATAATGCAAGTTTGGAGACTGGCACAGAAGAGGACTATGTGGGTCAGCAGGGCTGAAAGAAACTTTGTGGAGGAGAAGGGGCTGCAAGCCTAGCTTTCACACTTCCACCACTCTCTTTTTCCTTTCTTGCCACAGCCCCAGGGCACTTGCTCACATTCTCAGGGCAGATAGAATGTGGGCAAAGAGCTACCCAAAAGGCACCTTCATCCACCAACCACAAGGGCTTAGGGGGAGGCTGATGAAGAAATTGGGGCAGCCCTGGGATACCTGACCTTGCACGCTGAGCCCTGCTCCAAAGCTGGAACTCTGGCAAGGAAGTCTTGACTTGAACAGAAGCCGATATGATTCATGGCCCAGGCTCCATAGCGAGTGTCAACTGCTCTGGTGGGGTCAAGGGAGATGAAGAGCTCAGAGGAATATTCCATGATAGGGATACTTGGTCGAAACATGTACTCTCTCTGGAACTTCAGAGAGTGCAAGAAAGTTTCTTATGAGATTTTAAGAGAGATTGATTTTATAATAGGCTTAAAAAAGAGGTTTGAAGAAGGAAATATTCTTAAAGAAGAGGTCTGAAGAAGGAAACACTGAGCTTTAGATGCTAGGAGGATCACAGTTTACCTATTCCTAAGTGCATTGAAGCTTGCGCACTAAATGGGATTCTGGCAACCAAAAGAGGGCATTTATCTCTTCACAAAAACAAGGCGCAGTCAAGGGAAGGATGAGTTCTGAGGAGACACAAAGTATTTTTTGCCTTAATGACCAGAAGATGAAAAAAAGCACTGGGAGGGTATTGGGGGGCGGGGGTGGAGACACTGTCACAGGTTCTAGGTAAAAAGGAAAGTACTTCGATTTCTACTTTTACCGACCTATTTACAAGGGACAGGGGCCTGTTTTTGAAGATGCTTTTTTTTCAGGACTGTTCGAAAATCTTTTCTCTGTAAAGGAGAAAGAAAGGCAACCAGAGCCATGAGAGGCACTCAAGCAAAGTTTGAAACAATTTCACTTTCCAGAAGAAAAATCTGTTGTCTGGGCCTCACTGAATTTCTTCCAGACCAGGGATGTGTGGGCCAGTACAGTCTCAGCACCATCCATTGATTGTATGGTAGGGACGTCCCTAAGCCATCTAGTCCCCTTCATATATGAGGAAAGCAAGGACCAAAGAAATTAAGGGACTTAGTTAGCCATAGCTAGTTAGAGCGGAACAAGGATTAGAACCCAGGTAACTAACTGTATGGAGTTCCTGAGTGGCACAAACATTCTACATACTCACTGCTAACCAAAAGGTTGGCAGTTCAGAGTGTACCCAGGGGCTCCTCAGAAGAACAGCCTGACAATTTATTTTTTAAAAAAAAGCCACTGAAAATTCCATGGAGCACAGTTCTACTCTGACACACATGGGTTTGCCATGAGTTGGAATCAACTCAATGGCAACTGATTTAGTTTGGTTTTCTTAACTATCAGTATACTTTCTGTGAGAGCTATTGGTGTATGTCTTATGCCTTCATCTATACGGTATGTTTCTGGGGGGCAGTGGTGACACTTTATGCATCTTTTTATCCTTCACCATGCTACCTCTGTCTTCACATGAGTCTTCCCCCTGTGAGGGTTTCTCTGTGTCTATTCTGCTGTTTTTATAAGACACCATCAGAGGTGATTAGGTTTAAAGACCCACCCTGTTCTGGTATGGCCTCATTAGCATAATAAAAGAAACCCCCTATTTCCAAACAGGATCGCATTCACAGGTATAGAGGTCAGGACTTTCACTTAACTTTTTGGAGACACAATTCCATCCATAACAGAGGCTTGAAACAACAATTATGTGTTTTTGCTCAGCATCTGCAGGTGAGCTGGGCTTTGACTGATCTAGCCTGGCTCAGTTGGCCTTGGCTCCGAGCTGTAGACTGGATCTAGGTCTGCTCCATGTATCTTTTGTCCTCTGTGGGCCAGTGGTGGCACAAGGCAGGTTCTTTTCATAGGACGGTAGAAGCACAGTTCAAGGCTCTGTGGGGATCATGTCTGTTAACATCCCATTGTCCAAAGCACGTCATTTGGCTGAGCCCAAAGTCAAGGGATGGAGGAGTATCTTCTACCTGCCAGGCAGCCATGGGAAGTGTGTGGATGTGTAACGCTACTACGTGGGAGTGGAAAATTGTGATTAACAGTTCAGCTTAACCTGAGCACTTTGCACAGTGCCTGATACATAAATGTTCCATAGATATCAACTATTATTATGAATTGTTATGGAGCCGTTCTTGGTAGGCATATAAAGTCTTACATTAATAGAAGTTGTACCCTTTCTCCTACAAAGTATAACTTTTTGCTTTTTCTTGTTTCTTCTCCTCCCACAGATTTACTTTGCACCAAGGACAAGCTGTCAGCCAGTTTCTGCCAGACACTAAAAATCATGAAGAAATGCTCCATGCCCACTGTGAGGGCTCAGTGCTGCCTCTCATGTCCCCAGACTCACATCGTTCATGCCCGAAGGCCAAGAAAGCAGCAGTCACTCAAAAGCCCCAAATCACTCTAAGTCCAGAAGGAAGCCACCCTCCACCATCCACCGCAGCAGCTGCTGACCACAGCACATTCTAGCTCCAGAGGCCGCTTCCTTGAGGTTTCGGTTTATGTATTTCAGGTCTAAGTCTGGGTCATAAGAAACAGATTCCATTGTGTTCCGTTATCCTCAAAATGCCCTCACAGGAGGTATGGGACTATAACACTGCTGTGCTCTAAAGTGAAGGTGAAATATCTGGGAGAATCAGGTGTCTCCGGGGACCAGTTCCTGAGAAAGGTGCTAGACGAAGCAGGGCTGTGAAGAGATGTCCCTATTTTTCCCCTAAAAGATTAAAAACAGAGAGACCAGATTTTCCCCAGTCTACCTCAAGAGTATCAGGAGACAGAGCCACACTTATCTAGGAAACAAATAATCTTCTTAAATTACCTTGTTGAAATCAGCTTTTTTTTTTTTTTTTTTTCCGTTTGCCCAGGGCAGCTGCTGTTTAAAATTATCATGAGGGAGCTTTTAGGAGCATTCCTTTAATTCAACCAGACAGAGGGACTCTTTCTTCACCCTGTATTCAACTAGGGAAGGAAGGGAGAGTCCTGGTTATGCCCTTTAGTCAATCTCTCAATCCCTGTAGGACCCCATATCTGGGCTTTTTAGAGTCCTGGGCCTACATTGGGGTCCTGGTGGCACAGTGGTTAAGTAGCGGGCTGTTAACCAAAAGGTTGACAGTTCAAATCCACAAGCTGCTCCTGGTTGGAATCGACTCAATAGCAATGGGTTTTTTTGGGATTTGGGCCTATTTTGAGATACTAGAATAAGAGGAAATAGTTTAAACTGCAGCCTAAGGGATTTAGGTTAGTTACACAAAATCATTTCTGACTTGAGAATAATTTCTTTAAAAAAGTTAATTTAAAATTTTAAATTAAAAATATTTTAAATTTCCATTTAATTAAAATTTTCAGTTAAAAAAATGAATCAAATTTATTTAAATTAAATAGCATTTTCAAAACTTGAATAATTTTTAAATTTAAATTTAAAATCTTTAAATTTAAAAATTTAAATGAACAGTTACCAGTTTCCTGCTAGTGTAAAAAAGGGAACGTGGGGTCTTATTCTTCCTACTTTCCTGGTAAATGCCTATTTCTTCCCAGAAGAAGGAATGAGTCATCCTGTCTGCGGTCCCTCTCCTGCAGATTCCCTTCCTGAGCCGCTAACTCAAGTCTGACCGTCATTTTGCTGCAGGGGTTTTATACTCAAACTACGATAGCCAGATCCAAAGCTGCAATCTTCCCTCCTCCCTCTCACCCCCTAGGTTGGAAAATGGGGCTGTAGATTGAATGGTTTCAAAGAACCTAGTAAGTTGTGTTAAATACAAAAACTTTGTACAAACTTCTAGTCTAGAGAAAAAAGCTTCTAAAAAATGAAGTAAAGATAATCTAGTACTCAGTTCACCCAGTAGTTACTTTTAAGGGTTGTTTTTTTGTTTTGTTTTGTTTTTTCTTCCTTGTGATCAACAGGCAAGTCAGGGAAGTCTGCAAACCTGAAACAAAAGTCGGAATGCCTATTCTGGATGTCCTACCATCCATCAGAAGTTAGGGTAGGCTGTGGTCTCAAATTCAGGGCAAATTTCCAGGCAAACTGGTTTCTAAGGGGAAGTTCTAACATAAACTGAACCTGGAGAGAGAGGGTGGCTAAGTAGAGGGGTCTGACACCCTAGAGGAGAAAGCCTTCTGGACCAACTATTGACAGAGGGGAAGGCAGGGGTGTGGCCTGCATGTAATGGACAGCATGTATGTATTCGTACCCATCCACAGGTGCACTTCATGTTCATCATGGAGCACAATGTCCCATACGCCCTTTTTATTATCTATCTGTTCAGCAGAATGGTGCTATTGGAAAATGGTGCTAATATCTAGATGGTGGCAGAACTAATATAAACATAAGATGTACAAGTGGGTATGTATATGTGAGACTCTACATATACGTCCTCTGTTAAATGTCTAACGGTGTTGCTGGCAATGCCAATTCTATTGCTTGGATACCATTAGCTTCAATTTTATATTATGTTCTTTTTATTTTTATTTTTTTCCAAGCCATTAATGTGTATTACTCTGATAAATTCCTGTGGAAAATGAAACCCTGGGGTTGGGATGAAATTCAAGGTAGACCAGAAACAAGATTAAAGTAGAAATGTTTATCCTTTTAAAGCCAGGGGATTTATTTCTAGACAATAATTACATTCTTGTATTCTCTGTCTTTAAGTGTAAACATTGCTAGCTACTGACAATCTCTAGTGAAACATAGTTTTAGAGAGGAAAAGGTATTTAAATTGTTAATGACAGGAGTCGATGAGAACCTGATTTTTTCTAATGAAGCAATTTGCAAAGATTGTCCCTGAAGTATAGGCTTTCAGGGGGATTAATTTACTGAACTGGATTGATTTAATTTAACCTGGTACTGTACTACCATAGGGTCAAATATATGTCATCAGAGACATGGGAATGGCCAGGCTTCCAAATCTCAGGAACAAACCCAGATTCCCACTGACCTCAACAAACTCAACTAGGCTAGACTCTCAATAGATAAAGTGGATCCTGTTATTTATGACTCGCATGGTGGATTAGGTGGTAGACATGTGAGGAAGGTCTGGCCAGGTGCTTCATTCTAGGCCTTTCTCCAGTTCCTCTAAGGCAGAAAGTTGGTCCTTAATTATATGTCATGGCCATTCACTTCCTATACTGAGGCTCTGTTGTGAGACAGTTCTGTGGCATCGGCCATTCTGGCTCCAGGATAAAGACAGCCCTTGCTGTAGGAGTTGTCTGGCACCCTGGATGTTGCCTTGACAACCACTCAGCTATGAGCCATCAGTGTTTTGACAGGTCCTGGCACTGGCAACCTGAGAGGACGCCCAACAAATGCCCTCTCTGCCTCTCTGTGCTGCTTTGCCAGTCCCCCACCCCCAGCATCCTTAGGGGTGCCTTGGTATGTACCCCAGTATTTAAACAGGGAGACTCTGAAGGCAAGAACCTAAATGGTATCTCCACCATTTCTTTAATGCTGTCAGGGACCAATATGAAGCAGAACTGTTGATTAACTTCATCCAGGTTCCTCTTTCTTCCCACTTTGAATGAGCAAGTGAAAGTGTAATGAGAGCCACTGGATACACGTCTACGATAAACCAGAGAGGACTGCCACAGGTCTGGTGCTTAAATACCTTAAGGTTCTAAAACCCAGTTTAGTTTATATTGCCTTTCACAGGGGTAGAGTTAGCTCTTCACTGAAAAGTTATGGATTAATTCTTAAACATCCAAACATAATTAAATATACTGTGAGAGCACAATATTTGAAGAAACTTAATAGTAAATACTTTTCTAAAACAGGAAATAATTTTCTGATACAAAGAATTGCCTCCTTTTGCAGGAATGATTTGTTTTATGATGGGTTTTCCAAAACAAGAGCCCACCTCCGTCCAATGTCTTGAGACATCCAAGTCCCCCAGCTACAGCAGTGTGATGCTTTTAGATACTCAGTGAATGTTTTTGATAACCTTCATCAAGTATCTGGAATACAACTTGAAGGATTATGTTGTTTCAGACCATAATTTCCCTTTCAATCGGCTAACATCCTCCAAACTCGGAAATCTGCCCATTGCTACCCCAGAGTTTGTAGGTCTTAGCTCATCTCTCTTCTGGGACAGTTTACCTGGTGCTCAACACACATTGATTCATTTTCAGGGGAGAGAGCACATGACATGAACTGCCTACAACCTACAACCTAGCCAGCATATTTTATACTACTCCTTTTTTATTGCTAATTCAAGTAGTATTAATATTCTTATTCTTTTCAGTTACAGGCAAGTCCCTGGGTTACCAACATCTGACTTATGTACAACTCGTAGTTATAAACCAACCCCTGTAAAAAGCCTGTTACATTAAAAATCTGAGGTACATACAATAATCTGTAATAACAAATGGGCACTACTTTGCAGCGTGCATCAAAGCATTATTATTATTCTTGTATTATTATGTTAAAAATGTTTTAATGTAGCTGTAAGTATTTCTTTAGTATTTTTTTATGCATAGAAAGGTACATAACTAAGACAAACATTTGACTAACTGATGTTAGATACAAACCATATCTAACTGTTCCAACTTATGTACAAATTCAGCTTAAAAACAGATTTAGGAACGGAAGTCGTTTGTAATCCAGGGACTGCCTGTATATCATTAAAAAAAAAAAAAAAAAAACCATATTGAGGAAGCACAATTCCTACATTGTCCTGCAATTACTATCATTGTCCTACAACGTGTTATATGACACATATGGTCCTACCCATGCCCTCCCTGCCTCTCTGTGCTGTTTTGCCAGTCCCCCTCCCCCAGCCTTCTTAGGGAGTGCCTCAGCATGTACCCCAGTGTTTAAAACCAGACTGTAATCATAGCCTGCCTTTGTGTGGCATCAATAAATGGCTGAACTCATTGACGTTGCCCTGTGATTCATTTACCCCTGCTGTGAAACTCCCACCTGCCAGCAGTGTCAGCCTGGAGTTTAGCAGGCGGGAGGAGGATGCTGTCAGCTTCCTCCTCCTACCCTCCTTCCAGATCCCCTCCTACTCCACCCTTGGATCAGTAAGTCACTATATGAGTCACATCCCAGGTGAAGTAGAACTTATGTCTCTTCTCATGAATAATTGTGCAGTGACTGACACAATCTACCATATGGTCATCTGAAGTGATGCTTAAAATTCCCCACAATACTAGATCCAAAGTATTCAGAATTGCAGCTCACAGCATTACCTACTCCTTATCTATCCGAACGAGTTGAAAAGAAAAATTACCGTTGAGTCGATTCTGACTCTTGGCCACCCCTTTGTGTGTCAGAATGAAACTGTGCTCCATATGGTTTTCAATGGCTTATTTTTCAGAAGTAGATCACCAGATCTTTCTCCCGAGGTGCCTCTAGGTGGACTTGAATCACCAACCTTTCGGTTAGCAGGCAAGCACATTAACCATCTGTACCACTAC